TCTTGTGGGGTGCCGGGGCTCTTGAGGGTGCCAGCTCAGGCTGGGGAGAGTCAGCCCAGCTCAAAGGGTGCTGGGGGAACGGTCCACCCAGGAGCAAACAAAATCAGCCAGGCAAAAGTGTTGGCTAGGCACCCAGTGCAAGAGGGACACATCCCCTGGCCCCCACCTCGTTAATTCTCGTGGGTCTCGTTGGTGGAAACAGCTTCACGGGGTGCCTGGGTGCTGGGACCAGCACCCCCAGCCTGCGTGGGCACCCAGGCGTCAGGCTGTGGGAGGCACACGGCGGCTAAGCCGCTCTCGCCGAGAAGTCCCTGACCCCCGGCCAGGGATCCATCGGGATTACGACTCCGGGAATGTTCTCTGAGCGCTGTGAGCCGATTACCGGGCTGGCTCCCTGGCCAGGAGCACCCTTCAGCAAACTGGATGGTGGCGTGGGGCGATGGCTGCGACCCCGGGCTGGGGAGGGGGGAGGACGCAGGAGGGTTCCACCCGCGCCTGCCCCGCTGTCCCCAGCGCCCCATCCCGCTCCGGTCCCTTCCTCGCCCCCGTTATCTGCCGCCGGCCCAGCCAGGCACCGCAATCGCCACCGGGCCGGGGGCCCCAGGGCGCTGCCCTTTATCTGTGCCCCCACCATGCTGCGGCACCGGCCAGAGCGAAACCGCCTTTGGGTTGGGGGAACGGTGGCCCCCGGCTGGGCGATGACGCTCGGGTGCCCCTTTCCCTGCACAGAGGCCCCCTCGCCCTCCCCGGGGGCGGCTCATCCGCTCGGCTGCCTAATGCAATAAAGCTCTAATCAATATTTTAAAGAAAATAAATGGGCCCTCGTTAAGAGGCCGCGGGGCCCCCGCTCCTGGCCCCGCTCCCTTGGCCAGCTTTGGTCTTTTTAAAGGAAAATAATCCACGGGAGAAAGGGGTTCAGGGCCCCGTGCCTGGGGCTCTGCTGTCTGCAGGGGCAGAGGGGATCCCCCACACCTTAGCCAGGGCCCGGGGTTTCTGCACGGGGCTCCAAGCCCTTGGGCTTCAGAGGAGAAAAGGGCTTTTCCTCAGACCCTCCAGGAAAATCCCAGCTCTACCTTCCCAGGAGCCGCCGTGGCCCTGCCATGTGCCCGGCTACGGCTGGTCCCCAGGCCTGGGTGGGCAGGATGGGGGTCCAGTTTCGCCCCCGCTGTGCCCAGTGTGCCACCCGCCGAGGTTGCAGAGTCGCTTTCGGTTTTTTTGCGGGGTTTGTCTTTTTTTTTTTTTTTTTATCCCCAACCGTTACACTTTGAAGCGCCGTATCTCAGGGGAGCGCTGCTCAGCACGAGATAAGGGCTGAGGTTTTCGCCCCCCACGTGCCACTGGCGGGTTCAGACATCCCCATTTGGGACAGTGTAAGAAACCTCCTGCCCCCCCCCAAAGCACTGGCACCCCACCGACACCCCACCGCCGGCACAAGCCTCCCCCCAACACCGCGTCGGCTTAAAACCTCCGCTGCTTCCTGCGAACGGGAGCAGAGATGGGGGGGGGGTGAAACATCAGCCTGCGGCACCCCAAAGGGGACACCCAAAACAGGGCACCCCAAAGGGAGCCCAGCGGCTGCTGCAGCCGGGGGGAGCACCGGGAGACTGATCCCCCCCCGCCGTGGGACGGGGTGACTGGGTGCACGTGCCCGAGGGAGCGCAGGAAACTCCAAAAGGGGCAGAGGCAGGAAACTCCAGCCCCGTGGGCTGCCGGCACGCCCAGGGCTCCTGCTCCCGGTATTAGTAGGGCGCAGTAATAGCGTTAACGAAACAGAAAGGTCAGGAGGGGGGCTCTCCGTGGGGCAGCAGCAGAGGTGTGTGTCCCCCCCCCGCCACCGGACATCAAAGCAGGTTTTTCCCCAGGCCGATGGCAGGAGCTCGCCGGCTGGGCATTATGCAGCAGTTTGGGGCGGCACGCAGCAGCGCCGGATTTTTGGCAGGGGGTGGTTGAGCTGCTCATGCTCCGGCAGCTCTCCGCAGCCCAGCTCCCGCCACGAGCATCACCCATGGCAAATGCCCACGGTGCGAGCCCCGGCACCCGGCTGTGGGGGCAGCTCGGACGCACCGGCATCGCCCCGGCCCCCCTGGGACCTGCTGTGCCTTTTGGGGTGAGGCTAGAGATGATCCCAGACCCAAACACGGGCGAACGTGGCCCCAGCCCAGCGGCAGTGTGGGGCGATGTGCCACCCTCCCACCGGACCCCCCTGTCCCCCGTGGGGCTACGGCAGCACCGAGATCGAAACGAAAGCGAGCCTGCCCTCGCTGCTGGCCAGTGGCGGCAGATGTGGTAGCCATTCCCCATGGGGAGCCTCTTCCCACCCCAAAACTGCCCCTGTCCCCCCGTGAGGAGCCACGGTGCCCTCAGCAGCCGCTGCCCCCCGATCTCCCCACCACGCCGGGGGCTCCTTTGTTCTGCTGCCCACGCAGGCAGCGCCCCGGGTCAACCGCCGAGCTGACCTCTGCCTGCGCGGTAGCCGTCCCTGGGGACGGGGAGGTGCCACGCGCCGGCTCCCTAACCTCCCTCACCTCCATAACTCTTCCTCGCGCCCTCCCCTTCCTCCCCCCTGAGCTGGGCCCCCTCCTCCTCCTCCTCTCCCTGGCCCCCCCGTGGTTCAACCCAGGTTTGCAGGAATCTGTCCCAGATGGGTCAATAAAACCCTGCGGCGGAGGGCAGGGGCAGCCTCCCCCTGCAGGCACGGGGCACCCGTGGGGTTTCGGTGCGGAGATGGGTGCGGGGACTGGGACAGTGGCAGCACTCGGGGAGGGAGCCCGGGCCAGGGACGCCGGGCTGAGCCGTTCACCAGCACCAGCACCTCCGGGGCTGAACCTGACCCGCAGCTGCAGGGATCCCGGCGAGCCCCGGGGCCGGACCACCAGCCCTGTGCTGCCTGGAGAAAGAAATCAGAGTCCTCCCCCAAACTAGGAGATGCTGGGGGGGTGGAGGGGAGGGGGAACCCCAGCTCAGCAGGAGGTCGCATGCTCCCTGCGAGCTTGTGGGAGAACCAAAGCGCTCGCAGTACCGGGCAGAGAGGAGCTCCTTTGCCAAAAAAAAGAGGAACCCCGAAACAGCCCATTCCTTGAGCGGCGTTTCCCCACCACAGCGGGAAGGCCCAGCACCGCCATGGCCGCGCTCACATCCCCGCCAGCTCTCTCGCACGGAGGGCGGGGGGGGACCCGGCCGCGGTGCGCCGAGGTTTTCCCTACCGCACCCCTACCCCGGCGAAGGGGCAGGGAGAGAGGTGAAGCGGCCCCCGCCACGCAGCGCCGGGGCCACGGTGGCCGCCCCACACCGGCACTCGCTGTTTACATTCCTGCTGCTCCTTCCCAGCTGGGCCGGGGCGCCCGGCGGCACGCGTTGGAGGGCGGCCAGGAGGAGCTCCCGGCCAGCGCCGCGCCGAGCAACCCCCTGGCCAAGGGCCAGCGGCCGCGATCCAAGCGCCGGCGCGCTGACGTGCCGGGGAAAGCCTCTCCCCGGCCGGGCGCTTCGCCTCCTCTCCTCCGCCCGCGGCGCGGCGGCGGCAGCCGCTTTCCTCCCACCATGAACCGCCGCGCCAGGCTCTCCCCGCAGACCCCCGGGAAGCGAAAGGGAGGGAGGGGGAAGGGGGGCTCAGCCCCTTGTGCCAGCACAGCTTTGGCGGGGAGGGGACAGAGGATGTGCTGGGACTCAGGCGGATGTCCCCAAGTGCTGCGGCGGCAGACCCGGCGGAGTCTATGGCGTGCTCCACATCGCGTTTATGGACCGCGGCACCGGCGCGGCGTGGGCCCTGCGAGCACCACCAACCACCCAGCCCCAGGATTTCCCGTTGGATCCCGAGGGCTGGGAGCGACTGCCGGGATCCCAGAGCCGGCGCGCAGGGCTGGTACGGCACCGACGCGGTGACAAACAGGAAGATCACAGCTGCGGTATTGAAAAAGCCTTTTCACAGATACGAGATCACGTCCCCGGCCCCTCACTCCCCGGTGGCAGGAAGCACAAAAAAAGAGAAACCACAAGAAGAGGAGGCGGCGTGGGTGCGGCGGCACGAGGGACGTGCGGGGCAGAAGCATCCCGCCGGGGAGGGCGGCCGCACGCTCCGTGCTTGCTCGTGCTTTCTCTGCCAGCCCCGGCGCGAGGCTGCCCGCGTCCAGATGTGCCGGCAGATCCCAGCAGCCCCTTCCCCCTTTCGGGAGGGACGCGATGGCCCCTGCCCCTTCCCCTTCGGCCCGTCGCATCCCTCCCAAAAGGCCACCGTGCCCTGGCCGCTCCATCTGGGTCCCATCTGCTGCTGCTGGCTCCCGTCCCTTCCCCCAGCCCTAAACTCAGATGTATTTAAACACACACATCAAAGGCACCGGGCAGCCCCCGGGGAGCCCCAGCTCGCAGCACATTTCCTTCTATTAGCTGAAAGCGGGGCGCAGCGAGCCCCGGCACCAGGAGAGAGCAGGAGCGTGCCTGCCCAGCCGACACGGGGAAGGCAGCGGAGGGGGCAGCCGCAGTGATTTGACCCCCGGTTTCACTCTTCAGTGGCATTTTGGCAACAGCAGAGGGGCAGCTCTGCCCCTAAGCATCCACAGGGCCGGAGCCGTCTGCTGGGCATCGCCTCTGCGGTGACAGGGAGCAAGGCCTGACCCAAAAATGGCATGGGGAGGGTGGCGAAGAGGAAAAACAAGAGTCCCTTCAGATTTGCAAGTTTGGGGTGGGTTTTTCCATCGTTTTCAGCAAGAATCTTCCCAGGTCCCTCTGGCAAACCTCACCACACTGCCCATGCCAGGGCCAGGCCACAGTACCAACTGGGACACAGGATCCCACCAGAGCCACCGACCAAAGTGACAGGGAGGGGGTGAGGCGGAGCCCGGGCACTAAAACCCCAGAGCAATCCCACGCTTTCTTAGCAGCCACAACGGCAGCTCGATCCGAGCGCAGCACTGCCGGAGGCGGCACTGCCGGAGACATCCCGCTGCGGCTCCCGAGGACACAGGGATGGGCACGGCGGGGGCACGCGCGTCTCGGCGGGTACCTACTTGCTTGAACTGCTCCTCGTAGGTCCAGTCGCCGTGGTCGGGTGCCGGTGGCGGGGGCTGCACGTGGCCCAGTCCGGAGGGGAGCCGCTCCTGCCCGCCCGGCGCCCGCGGCGGCTCGCCACGGTAGTGCTGGGGTGCTGGGGGCTTGCGGAGCAGTAAGGATCCCGCGCCCGCCCGCACCACCTCTGCTGAGCCGAGCCCTTCCTCTCCCATGTCCTCCTCTTCTTCATAGTCTTCCTCGTCCTCCTCCTCCTCTTCTTCCTCTTCCTCCTCCTCCTCGCCCAGGTCCTCTTCAAAGTCATCTTCATCCCACTTGCCCTTCCTAGAGCGTGGGGAGAGCAGCGGTTTGCTCCCGCACTAGGTGGGGGTCTGCCCCCCCCCGAGCCCTCTCCCCGGTGGCAGCCCAGCTCCCCCCCGCCCTGCCCCACAGACCAGCTCCTGGCCCTATAAGTGGGAACGTTTCCATGAGCCCCTGCCCCTGACCTCCAGGCACCCTCTCCCCGTTCCTGAGCAGCACCCAGTGCTGCACAGGCAGAACACAGAGCCTGCCCACCCCACAGGCACCCCACAGCCCACGGGGAGCCCGTCCGTGGGTGGCAGCCCCACGAGGCACCAGCACCCCAAGGCAGCAGCTCCGGTGGGGAGTTGAGCTCTGCCAGATGGCTCCAGCCCATTCCCTGCGCTGGAGAGGACACAGGCTGGGAGAAGGGCCCTGCATAATTTAAAGCCAGACCAGGATCCTCTGTCTCTGCCCCACGTGGCTCCCCGGGCAGAGATGAAATGTCACCCCACGCCAGCCCGGCACAAGGAATCACGGCCGCCGAGCCGAGCTGCTGCTCTCGGCAGCTCCAGGGCATCCCGACGGCGCTAACCCAGCTCCCCGCCCCGAGCCGCTGCACAGACCCGGCCGTCGGCGCAGCCCAGCAGCCCCTGGCAGCCTCCACCGTGGCTCCCCAGCCCCCGAGGGCTGCGACAAATCCTGCCAGAACCGGACCGAGCCCATAAGAGCTGCTACCCTGGGCAAGCGTATACTCACAGATCCTCCTCTTCCTCCTCAGAGCCCATCTCCTGCTGGTACCCGCCATCCTCCTCCTCCTCGCCGCGCTCCTCCTCCTCCTCCTCCTCCTCCTCCTCGGAGGCCTGACTCTCATCTGACAGCCCCGGGCTGGACGAGTGGCTGAGGCCGGCGGCTGCCGCCCGCATGGCAGCCAGGGCAGCCATCTGCGCCCGCTGGATGTGCGCGCTCTCGGGCTCCGCTCCTTCCTCCGAGGGTGCTGGGGCCGGATCCTGCCCGCGGCTCCGGGCCGGGGTGCTGGTGGGAGGCTGCCCCGGGGTCGGCGGGGGCTGCGCCGGGGGGGACGTGGAGCGCTGCTGCTGCTGCTGCTGCTGCTGCTCCTGCTGCCGCGCTTCCAGCGCCTGCTGCAGCCGCGCGCGCTGCTGCCGCTGCAGGTTCTCCATCACCGCCTGCAGCTTCATGGCTCTGCTGGCGGCCGGCGGGTCCCCGGCGGGGCAGGAGGCGATGCACCCGGGGGGCAGCGCCCGGGAGGCGCGGGGGGCAGCGCCCGGCAGGCTGCCGTGCTCCAGCGGGGCTGGAGGCCAAGGCTGGGCAGCGCTGGCGGCGGGGGGGGGGATGCCGAGGGCAGCGGAGGGTCCACAGCACCGTTGGGGTGTCAGGGCAGGAATCGCCGCCGGGTCAGGGCAGAAGGATGTGCCCCCCGACCCCCCTCAGCCTCGCCCCGATGTCTCCTTCTCTCGAGGGCTCCGGCAGGAGCTGCGGGCACGGGGCCGCTCGTCGGGGTCAGGGTGCTGCTGCCGGCAGGCGCTGAAACCTCCGCGGGCTCAACAGGCAGTGGCGGCAGCCCGGCGCATCGCCCCCTCCCTCGCTGACCGGGCACCTTCCAGGCGGCCGCAGCCTCGGGGTCAACGCAGCGTCCCCCCTGCTTGGGGCCACGCGTCCCTAGTCCTCGGACGGCTCAGCTTCCCGCAGGCGTGGGTGCAAACCTGCCAGGAGAAGCAGAGGAGAGGGGTCAGCGGAACTGCTGGCAGGAGCCGGCGAGCAGGAAGGAGTTAAAGACAGCGCAGGAGCCTCATTAATCTCGAGCTAATGAGATAGGGAGGCCGAGCCCTGCTGCTGGAGGGGGAAGGGGCCTGCCAGACCAGATAGCCCTGCCTGGCCCTGCAGGCAGCGGATACCGGGATACCAGCACCCGCAGATAACACCCGAAGGGAGGGCCACCCGACACATCCCCCCATGGGGGAAGGGGCACGTCCCCACCCGGGGGACACCAGGGACATGCTGCACCTGGTGAGGGGAGCACCAGGCAGGAGCAGGCAACTGCCAGGCCAGCTCTGGGCTGCGAGCGGCACCGGGGTCCGCACCGCGTGGCAGAGGGGCCCCTCGCCCAACGGGGTCCCAAAGCACGGGGGGGGGGGGGGGACACACACACACGCGTGTCCCCGTGGCAGCCTCCCGCGGGATGGGCAGGGAGGACCTCGCTCCTCAAAACTCCGGCAAACAGACCCCGCCAGCCGCCCCCCGCGCTTCTCCCCTTCCCCGGGGGGCTGCAGGGCTCCGCTCTGCTTCACCCCGCCAGCGAGCACCGGAGAAACCAGCGCATTATGGCTGGGCGCCGCGACACCCCCACCTCCCCAGCACCCCACGACACCCCCACCGCCCCAGCCTGGATTCCCCCCCGCAGCACTGAGCCCCGGTGCAGCCGGTGTGACCCTGCCTTTGCCAAAAGCAGGGAGGGAGCTCACCGTGCCAGTGCTACGTACGGGCATTGGCTCAGCCGAGCAATCACCCCATTTCGGCTGGCAGAGTGCACGCACCCCGGGACCTTCACGCAGGGCTGGCCGGGGGCCACGGGCAGCCCCCGCCGCGGCTGGCAGCACACGCAGGAGCCGGCAGCTACGGCACGATGCCGTGAATTCTGGAAAGGGGAACCCGTTTGCAGCACGGGCCGGTGCCGCTGCCGATTGGGCGGCCGGGTGGGAGCCGCTTCCCCCGCGGTGACGGCCGCATCCGCTGCCAGCCCTGCCGCGCTCAGCTCACGCTCCGAAGGTGCCGCCGCCGAGGAGAGCCAGCGCCGGGAGCGGGTCGGCCACTCGAGCGCTGCCCAGGCTCTGCCCCTGCCACAGTTTCCCCTCGTCTACCCCAGCCACCTCTGTCTCGCCTGGGCGGGGGGCTGGGGCAGGGACCCTGCCCCTTCTGCGTGGGCAGCGGTGCCCCGGAGCAGCAGCCGCCTGAACCCCAGCCCTTGCGCCCGGCGAGAGCCACGAGGAGTGAAACCGGAGTGAAACCGGAGCGAGTCTCGTCCCAGGCACGTGCTCCCCTGCCTTGCCACGAGTCGCCAGATCACTCAGTGCAGGCACTGGTGCTGCTGAGAGCCGGGAGCTGCTTCCCAGAGCACCCGGGGCTGTGGCCGTGCCGGGGCCATGCTGCCACGTCCCCGCAGGGAACCAAAGCCAGAGCTGGGGGACCGTGACACCCCAGGCCGGCGGCCGCAGTGACCTTGAACCGTGCCCCCCTTTGTCCCACACAGCCGCGGGGGACCGCAGGGGCTCGGTGTCTCCGGGGGATTGGGGACGGCGGCACGCGCGTCCCGCGGGGCAGGTGCTCGAGAGCGACAGCAGCTACGCTGGGCTAAAAATACGCGGCGGCGGGCAGGGGTGTAATGGCCAGGGCCTTTGTGCTACCGACACCGGGCCTGGCCGCAGCCGGACACCCCCCGCCTGCTGCCCCCAGACGGGCTCACGGCACCGGCCCAGAGGGGCTGCAGGAGACCAAAGGGAGGAGGAGGAGGAGGAGAGAGGGCTCCCGGGCCCCGAGGGTGCCCGTCCCTGGGGGCGGACGGGGCTGGGGATGGCAGGAGGGACCCCCGGGGAGGGCAGGGGGCTCGTCCCCGGGGCTGAGCCCCGCTCCCGACCGCACGTGGCACCGGCTGCGCCTTGCCCGGCGTCGGGGCCGGAGGCCCCCGGCTGGAACCGGGGCCGGCCCTCGCCGTCACGGGGAGCGGAGGCCGGGCCGGGCGGGCAGCTCCCCGGCGGCGCGGAGTCCCGGCCCCGGGCCTCGCCTCGGGCCGGAGCCCCGGGAGGCCGCGGGCCCGGCGCTCGCACCGTCGTCTCCCCACCGGGTGGGGCGGGGCGGGGCGCGGGGGGCTCTAACCGGCCGGGACAGTAACGCCCGCGGGGGACGGAGGGGCCGGGCCGAGAGCGGCCGCGGGGAGGGGGGGTGGGGAGGTGGGGGTGGGGGAAGCCCCGGCCAGGCGCGGGGGGGAGCGGCCGGTAACCGTCAGCGGGGGGGAGGGGGAAGCCACAATCCCGCCCAGCAACCGCCCGTGGGGGTCCCAGCCCGCCCAGGGGACGCGGACGAACCCCGACCCCCGGTCCCGGTCCCGCCCAGTCCCCGAGCGCGGTGAGGGGGACCGGAGGGGGGGAAGCGAGACACCGACCCCCAGTGCTGGCCGTGGGGGGAGCGGGGTCCCGGTGCCGGCCGACGCGCCCGCGCTTACCCGGTGCAGGCCGTGCGCCGCGAAGCCGCATAGCAGCCGCGGCCGCCCGGGGCTCGGGCTGCGGCGGGGCCGGGGCGCACTCGGTGCCCGCACGGCGGCTGCTCTCCCGGCGGGCGGGCGGTGGGGCCGAGGGCGGCACCGCCCCGCGCCGCCATTGGCCGGCAGCGCCAACCCCGCCCCGCCCCGCCCCACCATTGGCCGGCCGCGCCCGCCCCGCCCCGCCCCACCTCCCCATTGGCCCGTCGCCGCCGCCGCATGCAAATATGCCGCTCGGCGGGGCCGCGGGGCCGGCCGGGAGCGCAGCCGCAGCGCCGCCTCGCGGCCGGGTGGGGGAGCGCCACCGTGTGGAGCGCTGCCCCTTTAAGAGCCCCGTAGCAACCGAGGCGGCGCGGGGGATTTAAAGGGGCCGTGGCCGCCACCCAGTCCCGGTGCTACGGGCTCTCCCCCGCACCCACCCCCCCCCACCCCGCCTCCACCACCGTGGCCCCGCCCCGCTATGCCCTGGGGCGGGGCCGTAAGGAGCCCCGCCCCTCGGACGCCACTTCCTGCGGGGACGCGGCGGTCCCGGTGCCGCCGCCCGTGACCGGGCCGAGCGGGCCATGGTGGTGCTGCGGGGCGGCGCGGGCCCGGAGGAGCCCTACCCGTGAGTCCGGGCCCGGCAGCGGCCCCCGGCACTCGCCGGTTCCCCCCCGCGGTCTCCGGACGGCGCCTGTGGCGGGGCGGCGGGGGGGGGGGCTCTGGTTCCCCGGAGGGGACCCCCGGAGGCGGCGGGGCCGGGGCTGGGGGGCGGGGGCGGCTGCTGCTGCGCTGCCCCGGGAGAGCGTTTGCCCCGGTGACCGGGAGCAGGAAATGGCGCGGAGCCGGAGGCGGCTGTGTCAGAGGCTAGAGGCCGTGATTAAGATAATGGGCTAATTAGCGTTTACCCCACGGGAGGTCACGGGTGCTCCCCGGGGACACCGGGGCGATGTGCCGTGGGGGAGCCAGGCCGGGGTCCCTCGGGAGACCCGGGTCCGGTGGGCGACTTGTGTGCGTGGGGGGTCCCGAGTGGGTCAGGGGCCGGGGAGGTCCTGAGTGGGCCGTGGGTTTGCAGGTTGTGGTGGGTCCCGAGTGGGATGGGGATTACGGGCTATGGGGCGTCCCGAGTGGGCCGAGGGCCGTGGGGAGCGGCTCTGCCCAGTGGTGGTGGGGGGTTTCCCTTCACCGTGGCACCGGCCCCATCCCACAGCAGCGGCTTCGCTTTGAGTGCCGGTGCCGTGTCCGGCTTCGCTGAGCGATAAACAACAGGAACTGGTTAAAAAAAAAAAAAAAAAATCTCCCGGCAGGGAACAAGGTGCTTCTCGTTTCTTCCCTGGAAACGAGAAGTGGAGGAGAAGCCGCTAAACTTTCTGCGGTGGGTCTGGAACTGTGGAGCTCGTCTCCGTGGGGTCGGTGTTCGCCCCGGCCCCCCGGGAGCGGGCGCTGCGCTCCCCCGGGAGGGGATCCCGGGGCTGGAGTTACCGATTCGGGACTGACTGGAGCTCGCCCGAGAGCTCCTGGCCGGGTGCCCGGCAAAGCCCGGCTCCCCTGTCCCGGTCACCTGTAGGTCTCCCGGCTCGGGAAGGATTCCTGCGGTTCTGCCGAGCGGCAGCACAGGGTGTCGGGGGTGTCAGCACACACCGGGCAGCCTCGGCACCACCACGAATGGCCCCGGGGAGCTCGGCCGCCCGTCCTGCCACGAGGAGCTGGGGCTGCGCCTGGGTCGGGGGGTCCCCGCGCTGGGCTGGGGGGGTCCCGGCAGAGCCAGGGCTGCTCCCACCCCGCTGACACTGGCACACCTGTGTTTAACACCTTTTTTTCTCCCCGCTCCTTTGGAGGCTGGAGGATGATCCCTCCTCGTTGTCTTGCTGCCCTGAGGAAGGGCTCCCTTGTCTGTGAAAACAGGGTAAATATTTGCTGCCTGTTGCCTTGGGCTCCTCTCTGAGGGGCTTTTTCTGTGGCGCGGCTGCACCGGGGAGCTCCTGGTAGTGCCAGGCTCACCACTGCGAGATCTGTGTTGTATTCAAACTGTCCTCCGAACTGGGGCCAGTGGTAAGGTGACTCCCTCTATTTATCTTTATTTTTTTTTAACCACCTTTGTATCAAAACTTGATCTGTGAGCCCTGGTCGCGCTCTGTTTGCAGCTTGGGTTACAGCTCCCCACCCATCTGTTAGTCATCACTGAGGATACCTGCATCCCTTCTATTTTTTCCAAGGCCACCTCTGCCACTGTTTTCTCTCCAGCTGAAAGGGGGAGAGGTGGTTCCCTGCCCCCTGCCAGCGGCAGAGCCCTGTCACTGACCCCATCCAGGGGAAGGGAAATAAAAAAAAAAAATTAAAAAAAAAATCAAGGCTTTGGCATGAGGAAGCAGCTGGCTGCCTTCCCGGGCTGGCGGGCCGTAATCGGTCGGCACAGCCTGCTCTGCCCTGGCTGCTGACGGTTGTGCCAGCGCCTGATTTTGGTGCCAGGTGTCCCTGAGCCCTGGGGTGCTGGGCAGGAGGGGACACAGTGGGGGCAAGACTGTGTTGCTGCCGTGGGCAGCCTCGCCGCTCCCCTTCCAGCCCTGCCCGCGCCGGCGCGTGGATCCGCTTTGTTTTGGTGGTGTTGGTTTTCTCGACCACCTTCTGCTACTCTAAGGGAAACCCACACAAACCGGAGGGGAAGCTGCGATGCAGAGACCTTAGCAAGTGGGCAAAGAACAAGCGAAAAGACAGTGAAACTTCCTGTCTTTGGTGGGGTTTCAGTGAACTTTGAAACCAAAGCGGTTGCGTTAAATGCCCAGTGAGCCTCTTGCTCGTCACTTGGTTTAATTTTCACACAAAATTGTCCAAGTTTTATGGTCGTTCCTAAATTGTACCTATGTCTAAGTAATCCCCTGACCATAGAAGCGTCACTAACAGAAGCCAAACACCTCTGGGTGTACCCGGGAGCGGTGGCTTTCCTGCGGGGGCTGTGGCCTCACGCCAGTGAAGGTTCCTGCCGCTGGGGCCAGCGGGCTCGCTGCCCAGTGCCTGCAACGGGTGCTGCTGGGGCAGCTGGTGTCTGCGCCAGGCCCCACCAGCTCGTGCCGCGTCCCCAGAGGATGGTGAACCAGTGACACCAGCCCTTGCTGGGGCAGGGGAGCGCCCGGCTCCTGGGGGGGTGATGGGGAGCAGCCGCAGCAGCGTGACAGTCTGGAGGGAAGCACTGGCCCAGGCAGTAATTCTGCGGGCAGGGCAGGTGTCACCGCAGCCTTCGATGCCGGGGCCCATCATCGACGGTGGGGGAGGCTGCGTGGTGGGACCGTGCCGGCAGCGCTGGCTGGGCGATGGCAAACGTGGGGTGCAGCGGGTGTCCGGCTGCGTGGGGCACTTCCAGGTCCCTTCCTCAGCCTCTGCCTCCGCAGAAATTAATCCCTTCGCTCTGCCTTGCGTGCTGGTGGAATTAATTACCCGGAACGTCTGGCTGCTAGCGCGCAGCTGCCTTAAACAGATCAAGTCCTTGGAGCCAGCCTGGCTCGGCAGCGGTGCGTGCTGCGAGGGGGGCACCGGGCCTGGTGGGGCAGGGTGCTGAGCCCGTTGCACTAACTAACGGCTGATGCTCCGCTCACCCATCGTCCCCGCCGTGGGCTCGCCCTCTCCTCGCTGCCCTGGGGTCTCGGGGGGGCTCAGCTCCTTCCGCCGCGTGTCCCCACAGGAGGATTGAGGACTGCCTGCCCCCGTTGGAGGACTCCCCATCCAAGAGGTTCTCCCCCTCCAAGAGGAAGCAGTATTATATCAACAAGGCCATCCGCAACTCCGACCTCATCCCCAGGGCCAAGGGGCGCAAGAGCCTGCAGAGGCTGGAGAACAGTAAGGACCTGGACAGTCTCTGAACACTGGCTCTCCCCAGTCTAGGTTCCTTCCCCAGGGCAGCAACTGCCCCCAAACCCTCCGCTGCGTGGCAGGGGGGGCGGTTCTGGGGGTGCAGGGCCTCTCTGAGGGCACTGCCTCCCCTCTCAGGTGCTTTGCTCTTCCCCCCAGCTCGCTACCTGATGACACTTCTGGAGCGAGACGAATGCGGGAGCGACGAGGGAGAGCTCGCCCACGCCGCCACCCCCAGCATCTTCACCGAGGCCTGTAACAACGAGACCTACGTGGAGGTAGGCGCGGGGCTCGCCGGGGGGGGGCCCTGGCACGGCACGTGCAGTTCTGGCAGTACGTGGGGTCTGTAGCTCGTTCCTCTGCCTCACTGGCCTGAGCTGCTCTGCCCCAGCTCCTGCCCGGTGTTGGAGTTGGGGTTGGTGTCTGTGCCCAGTGCCCGGTTGCTGCCGTGTGTGCTGGGGGGGGGGGGGGAAGAATCAGGTCCTGGGACCCTCAGTCCTGCAGCCTGTGGGGTGAGGGATCTCCGAGCAGACAGTGGGGGCTGCCGCTGCCCCGGCAGTGCCGCAGTGTTGTCCCTGCGGAGCGACCAACGCCGCGTGAGCTGCAGCACTTCCTCCGAGACAGGCCCCTTGCCAAACCCCTCCGTTGCTTCACGCTGCCCAGCCGGCGTTGCGATACCGACGCTGTAACCGGGTGTTTTGAAACTTGGCTTCTCTCCTGGGTGACGCTCAGGGCTTGGGCCGCAGAGCGACCTGCACGGTCCGTGCGTGCGCTCTTGGCTCTGCAGAGCTCTTCCCGCTCACTTAAGCCAGGCTTAGGAAGCCTGATATAGACATGGGTTTGAGGCTGGGTTGCATGCATGGGCTGTTGTGTCAGTACTTGGACTCCCAGTAATTGTTAAAAAAACACCTTTGTATGTTGGCTCCGAGTGTTAAATCTACATCTCCTCCCAGAGTGGTTGTGACAAGCTCTAACAGACGGTCAGGAGCTGGAGAGACAGGGAGAGGGGTCGTCATTGCCGTGGCTTGTGTCTGCTGTGGTCTGCTCCGTGCTGGTCGCAGCTGCAGAGCTCTGCCCAGCCCCATTCCTTCCCCTCCCTGAGCTGCCACTCCTGCTCTGCTTGGGCCGTCCCTGGGGACGGGGGGGTGAGCAGGCAGCTCCCGGGGTGGCCGTGCACTGCCGGGTGCTCCCCGCACACCTCTGCAGCGGGGCCTGGTGGCTTGTGTTGTCAGATCTGGAATGACTTCATGAACCGGTCGGGGGAAGAGCAAGAGCGAGTCCTGCTCTACCTGGAGGAGGAGGCCAGGAAGAAGCACAAGAGGAAGCTGCCGGTCAAGAGCGAAGACAAGTGGAAAGGTGCTGGGAGGGGACGCTGGGTGGGGAGCGCCTCTCCCTTTCCTCCCTTGCATGCATTTTGGGAAGGGTGCTCTTCCCCGAGGGCTGCATCCTGCTCCCTGCGCCACCCACTCAGGACGGGGCCAGGGGATGACTGAGCCAACCTCTTGGGTGCTGCAGCAGGGTTCGGGGGGGGTTTTAAGCCCAGCAGACCCCCCCCCATGGACCTGGGAGGGTCTGTGGGAGTCGTGAGTGGCTGGGGCAATGGGCACAGCGGCCATCCCCCAATTGCAAACCCCCAAATCTCAGCACCCTCCAAACACCCCTGGCCTGGGGAGGGTGTTGCTGCTCTGGGGGTGACTTTGAGCAGATCCAGGGGTGGAGGAGGTGCCCAGCTGGGGCCCTCCGGGGTGGGAAGGGGGATGCTGGGCTCCTTCCTGGGGGTGATGGTGTGCGGGTGCTGGGGACGTGAGCCGTGTCCGAGTCCCGTCTGTCTTCTCTCCACTGGCTCCAGAGCACCCTGCCTACACGCCCAAGGAGTGCTTCCAGCGCATCAGCCGCCGCCTGCGCTCCACCCTGAAGCGGAGCAGGATCCCCATGGTGAGCTGGGGGGTACTGGGGGGTACTGGGGGGCGGCAGGGGTTGGGGCAGGCAGGGCTCCGGCTGCCAGTGCCTCACGTGCAGCTTCGTCTGGAGCCGTGGCCCGAGGGCTGTCCCCTGACCTGGCGCGTGGGTGCTGAGACAGACAAGTGCCGAATTTCAGATGAGGTCCTGGGGAACGTGCTTCAGTTCTTGTATGACCTCTGCAGAGGTGGCTGATTGCAAACAGACATTCAGCTCCCTGTGCAGATGGGTTTTCCTGGCTCAGTTCAGATTTTTCTGGTAGTTACAGGACATTTTTATGTGGTTGTTTCCCAGTCTCTGCTCGGCGAGCAGCAGGTGACAGGGAAAACCCAGTGTGTTCACCCACAGGGGCAGCAGTGGAGCCTTTGAGGTCTTCAGACACTATTTGGAAAAACTCAGTTGCATTTTGAAAGGGGTAAAACTGCATAAACTGCTGAGCAGACAATTAAGCCTGAATGGAGAGGGAAGCGTGGCCTCGTGCCGCCTGGCTCGGGGAGCTGAGCTGCCACACGTGGCCCCTGTACCGTGCTGTCTGCCCAGACTTTTGCTCTCCCAGGCCCCAGGGGTACCTGGCTCCCTGCTCCTTCTTCTCAGTGGTGCTGTTTTCCTGCTCTGTTTTCCTCGCTCTAATTAGAGTCTCTAAAAGCAGCCTCAGCTCCTCCTGCCCGCTGGCTTCTGCTCAATTTGTTCGCAAATGAGACTCGCTTCTGCTGCTTGTCTCTGGGGTCGTGGTGCTCCAGAGAGCTGCATTGAGCTGGTCTTTGACTGTCATGAGAAAAGGAGATGCGAGGCACGAGGCCGTCCTGGCTGCCGCTGCCCTGAACGTGAGGGACGATGCCAGCCCTTGGAGCGGGCAGGGGCCGGATTCTTCCCCGCCTCAGGGGCTGGAGAGGGGAGATGCCTCCTGTCCTTGTGCCTTCCCGCCGTCTTGCGTCCAGATGGCTTTGGCCCGAGTGCTGCGGGCAGTAGCACAGCGAGAGCCGGCAGCCCCGTTGCAGATGTGGCGGGGGAAGGCAGCTGTGGTCGCCGGGGGCCTGTGGCTCTACCTGGCCACCCCAGGGGATCGGCTCCTCCGGGGCAGAACGGGGCTGCGGGGTGGGCGGCTTTTCCCGTGTTGGGGCTCACCAATGAGCCCCAGCTCCTCGCTCGCCCGTTGCCACAGGGTCTGAGCAGGGTCCGGCCACCGCTCCCCCTCCCCGCTGACAGCCCCTGCTTCCCCTCGCAGGGGACGCTGGAGGGCCTGGAGGAGGAGCTGCTGGCCTTCTTCTCCGTCACCCCTCACTCCGTCTACACGGCGCTGATGGACAACAGGTATTTCCCCACCTCGAGCGCTGCGGGTTGTCGCCTTTCCCGCCCCGTGGAGCCCGGGGCTGGTGGGGGCTGGGGTCCTGAGCCACGCTGACCCCACGCTGGGGGGTTCCCGGCTGCCGTGCACAGAGGCCGCTCCTCCTGCACCCCAGAGCTGCCGCGGGCTGCAGAGGGGCCCTGGGAGCAGAGGAGCCGCCCTGGGGACATTCGCCTGGGTGGCCCCTGCGGGAGGGATGTGCTGGGGGATCCCTGCACAGGGACTCGGGGCGCTTCGTATGCCCGATTCGTGAGCCCGTGGGAGGAGTGAGAGCAGGGCAACGCGCAGGAGATGCTGCTCTGAGACACGTTGGCTCTAACCCTGACCCCCATCTCCCCCCAGCTTCGAGCGACTCTTGCTCCACGCACTCTGCCAGTACATGGACCTCGTCTCTGCCAGTAAGAGCCTCCAGTTCGCGTGCTAGTTTTTGTTTTTGTTTTTCCCTTCTCTTCATCACTATCTCTCCTCTCCAGCTCAGCCTCTTCCTCCCTTCCTCCTCCCGGCCCCACCTTGCGCTGTGGCTCACAGATAACCCTGGGGAGCCTCGGCCGTGGTCACACCACTTCCCCAGTGCTGGTGACGAGTGGGCAGCAGCCCAGCAGCCAGGGTGATGGCCAGGCCCTGTGGATGTATCACTTGCAGCAGTGCTGCCGATTCTCCTCTGGGTTTTGAGTTTGGATGGCCCCAAGCAAGAGGCTGCTTGTGGGGCTCCCTCCCCTGCCTGCACCCTGCCCGCAGCTTTCCCTGCACGGTCTGGTGGCCAAGGCAGGGGAGCAGAGGCACCGGGCTCCGTCCCTGCGGAGGAGGCTTCGCTGCTGAGCGTTTCGTTAGCAGCTGCTTGTGGAGAACAGTGTGAGAGCGTTAATGATGTGAAGCGGAGCCTGTGGCGCTGGCAGGGGTGCGCAGCTGGGGATGGGGGGGGGACACAGTTGCCTTCTCTGCGGGGCACGGGGGAGCCTGCGCTTGCTAAGAGGCGCAAGGAGGAGGCGAGGGTGGCTGGATGGGGGACGCCGTGTTTGGGACCCACGGCGGGGGACCGGGGGCCTGCTAACCCCTCCCTCTCGCCCCCAGGTTCGGACATCGAAGGGAAACGTCAAATGAAAGTGAGCAACAAACACCGTGTCTTCCTGCCCCCCGAGCTCCTGCTCTCAGACTACCTGGGGCAGATGAGCTGATGTCCCCGCGGGCCGCCCTGCCCCTCGCTTGGTGTGCTGAAGGCTTCCATCCTCAGCTCCTGGCCTCTCCCAGTCCCCTCTGGTCCAGCCAGCCGCCCCGCTCTCCCCTTGCCCGAGCGGGGTGCAGTGCAGACCAGCTCCCCCCCAGCACCGTCCTCATGGGGGCTCGTCCCTCCCCAGGAGCAGTGCAGCACCGCGTTCCCCCCGCGCTGCCGGGACCCTGCCAGACACGGCCACAACCAAGCGGGGTCCTGCCGCGCTCGCCCTGTTCCCTGGGTTGCAGTGCTGCTCCCCCGCCAGAGCTGCTCTCCTTGGAACTGTTTGTGTTTCTATTTATAGCCCAGGTGCTTTTAAAAATAATTGGGCTGGGCCAAACCCTCCCGCCCCCCACCCCGCCTCTGACGCTGGTGGGGTGATTTCAGTCCGGATTTTTCTGGGGTGAAACAGCTCCTCGCAGCCGCTGAGCCAATGCTGAGCGAGCGGCAGAGCCTCGGGGAGCGGCGCTTCGTCAGCGCCCGTGCTGGGGTGCTTCACGGGGGGGCTCAGCCCCTGCCACCCCACTGGGCACCGGGGGCTGCTCCCCACCCCCGGGGTGCTCCGGTCCCATGAGTGTTTCGGCAGCGCCCCGTTCCCTGCCTCGCGCTCCAGCCTGCGGCACGCCGACCTGCAACACCCCAGGGCACCGGGCTGTTTTTAAATGTAATATAGGCTGTGTTTTTTATTCCGTGTGTATATATTTACGTGTGCGTGGGTGCGTGTGCTGGTGGAGCACAGCCCGGCCCAGGGGGACCCATGGCTGCCCTGGGAGGCGGTTTGTGGGTCTCCCCATGTCCCGCTCGCAAGGGTCTGTCGCGGGGTGACTGCCGGGGACCGCTGGAGGTGCAGGACCCCCAGCCCAGGGTTGTTGCTCTGGGCTCAGTGGCGGCCCTGTAGCCCCCGCTGACCAGCTGCCCTTAACGGGGCGTCCCCCTGAGCTGTCCCCCTGGAGCCCCCCGTGCACCCCCTGCGCCTCCTTTGCCTGTGTGACTTGGGTGCGGGCGGCTTTCAGGAACAATAAAGCACGGTGCTCCCCTGCTGCGGCTGTGTGTCTGCGTGGGGAAGGGGGAGGCGGGGGGGCTAACGGGCGAGGGTCGTGGGGAGCCCCGTGGTACCCGCTCGCAAAAGGCGAGCGTGGGCCGGTCCCAAAAATATGGAACGCTTCACGAATTTGCGTGTCATCCTTGCGCAGGGGCCATGCTAATCTTCTCTGTATCGTTCCAATTTTAGTATATGTGCTGCCGAAGCGAGCACGAATCGTTCTCTACCTGAGACGGTATTTAACGCTCCTCTATTTAGGTCTGTTCCGGACAGGGCGACCCTTTTCACGCGCAACTAAACACTCTGTAGGATCCCTCCGACTTTTTCTTGATACTTCTACCACGTCGCTTCGCTTTAACTCCACCAAAATCTCCCAAACCTCCACTTTTTCTTTGTTATCGCTGCCCCGTGGGGTTCTGGGTAGCCTCCCATGCAAATTAGAGCCACTGAGTGGCGCTTCCTTCCTCATTTTCCCCCCTCCCAGCGCTGCAGGGGCCTTAGGCGTAGGCTGTCCGAGGCGGTGCCTGAGCGGCGGCGGGGCGGGACGGGACGCAGGCGCGCGGCGGGCAGCAACACAGGGGCGGGGCGGGGTCCTCGGGCGCGGCGGGAGGCGGCGCGGGCCGGGGAGCGGCGGCGCTCGCGCCTCGGTGGGACCCGACACCCCCCTCCCCGCCGCGGGGCCGCTCCCGCCCCGGTGCGACCCCCCTGTGGCGCCCGGACTCCGGCGGCGGTCCCCGCTCCGCTCCCCCCGCCTCAACCCTGCGGTAGGCCCGGCCCCGCGGGGCGCCGGGGCTTCTCCTGGTGCGGGGCTTGTCGTCCGTGTCGCCCCCCCACACACACGCACACCCACCCGGGGGCTGGGGTCCCCACTTGCCCCCCGGGAGCCGGGGCTGACCCCCTTTCCTCGCCGCGGTACCGGGTCTCGGTGGGCGGCCGGTGTCACCGGGGCTCCCACTCGGGAATCGGTTGTTTCTGCTTCCAGGGCGGAGCGGCCGCGTTCCCCGCCCCGGGGCCGGCGGCGCGATGGACTTGGCGTATGTCTGCGAGTGGGAGAAAAAGCCGAAAAGCAACCACTGTCCTTCCATTCCCTTAGTGTGCGCCTGGTCCTGCCGGAACCTCATCGCTTTCACCACAGACCTCAAAAATGAGGAGGAGAAAGGTACAGGGTGCTGGGGGGTTGAGTGTCGCGTCCTGGAAACACAACGTGTTTAAGCCAGTCCTGCCATCGGGAGCCGCTGCGGCCTGTGCTCTCCCTCGACCCTAAAATCTCTCACCTGCCCTAATCTACACACTCTTTCTTTTTCTTCCTTCCCTTAGATTTAATGAGCATTTTCTCCACTGGGGAGTGGTTCTCTCTCTGCTAAACCAGGGCGAGCTCTGCGTTAGTGCCTGGTGCCTCACCTGAGTCACTGAGCGCAGTTGTTATCAGTCCCAAAATTGCTTGATGGAAAATATTTTATGTCTTCCCCTGCATCAGCTGACGCTGTCTGTGTTTAGAAATGCCAGCTGGGGAGCCGGTAACGAGGGACAGTGATTCACTTCTCTTTTCGTGTAGATCTCACCCATATGGTCCATATCATCGACACCGAGCACCCCTGGGATGTCTATTCCGTTAACTCCGGCCATGCTGAGGTCATCACTTGTTTGGAGTGGGATCAGTCAGGTGAGCTTGAATCCCTTCTCGTTACCCTGTGTCCCACCACCCACCTGCATGCGTTTCCCGAAACGATGGATACAACTCATGGAGGGGAGGGAGCGTGCCTGTCACTTTGCAGCCATGAATTGTCAGTCTCCATTCGAGCTGCACTGCAGTGGTTTGATTCCTCGGTTGATTCCTTGGCTGTACCCCCTGGTTCTTACAAGGCGCCGTTGTTGCAGGCTCCAGGCTGCTCTCGGCAGACGCGGACGGCCACATCAAGTGCTGGTGCATGACCGATCACTTGGCCAACAGCTGGGAGAACACTGTGGGCAGTATGGTGGAAGGGGACCCGGTCGTGGCCCTGTCCTGGCTGCACAACGGTGTGAAGCTGGCTCTGCACGTGGAAAAGGTTTGTCCCAGCTCTGCAGGGGATCTGGTCAGGAAGGCTTGCTCACGTCATTGGAAAACTCCCATCTGTGTTTCTCTGCTCTGGGCTTCCTCTGTGGCCTTGGGGAAGTCGAGCTGGGGAATTCTTTCAGTCAAAAAGAAAAGTCAGTTTCCTAGTTCCTGCTGAATTTCAACAGGGGTTAGTTGCCCTGTTTCTCTTGGCACTTCAGATGTGTCTTCCATAGTCTGGTGCTTCAATTTCCTTGGCTGTAAAGCAGAGATTAAAGCATTTTTTGCCAGTGGAAGAAATGTGTTCGAGGTCCTGAGATTTGATCCAGGCGTTTGGGAACAGGAGCCATATGTGTGTGGAGATAAGCTGCTTGTTTAGAAACACGTCTAATTCTGCCAAAAAGAGCAAGTTTGCCAAAGAGAAGTTACCTACTTACATTTTTTTAAACGTTAACTCTTAGGGTGTCCCACAGAGAGAAGCCTTTCCCTCTCATTAGTGCTGGAGAACCTGAGGCACAGGGGCGCAGCACATTGGTGTCGGAGCTGGATTTGGCCATAGAGGGGGAGGGGTGGTGTCGGTTTTCTGGGGTCGGAGTTTTGATCCCGGGGTGCTGAGGAGCTGGTGTGTGGCTGGAACGGCTCCAGCCCCGCGTAGCAGAGCCGGGGGTGTGAGCCCAGTGCCCTCATCCGACTCGGTTCAGCTCTGCAGACCGGGGCGCAGTGAGGAGAGCTCCGCAGCCGCGAGTCGGGTGCAAATGTCTCTGTGTTGTTGATCTTCATTCACAGTCTGGAGCGTCGAACTTCGGCGAGAAGTTTTCCAGGGTCAAGTTCTCCCCGTCGCTGACGCTGTTTGGTGGGAAGCCCATGGAGGGCTGGATTGCCGTGACCATCAGCGGGCTGGTGACGGTGTCTCTCCTCAAGCCCAACGGGCAGGTGCTGACATCCACAGAGAGCCTGTGCCGCCTCCGCTGTCGCGTCGCCTTGGCAGATGTCGCCTTCACTGGCGGGGGGAACATCGTGGTGGCCACGTCGGATGGCAGCAGCACCTCCCCTGTCCAGTTCTACAAAGTCTGCGTCAGCGTGGTGAATGAGAAGTGTAAAATAGACACTGAAATCCTGCCTTCCCTCTTCATGCGCTGCACCACAGACCCTGCCCGCAAAGACAAATACCCAGCGATCACTCACCTGAAATTCCTTGCTCGGGACATGTCGGAGCAGGTGAGCATCTGCTGCTAAAGCAAGTTAGGAGTTAAGTGAATAGCAAGGAAATATCTGTTTGCTCCACCTTTGACTTCCCCACATGGTTCTGCCCACAAACAACTGTGTCCTGCAATGCCCTTTGTGTTTCTAGCTGCTGTTTCTGGAAGTGCTTCGCTGCCGAGCAGGCTTCGCTTAAAAGGTCTGGGGGTGTAATGGCTGAGCGCTCCAGCTCGTGGAAAAGCAGCCTGAGAAACCTCATCCTTCGTTAGCCTGACTGTGCTTTGCTTTGTGTGTTTTCTGGATCTGGCCCTGGTTGTTAGGGAAGCTCTGCTGGGCTCTCCGGGAGGTTCTGGGATGTGACGTCCTTCATCTTCGAGTCTCGGATTCAAAGTGGCCGCTCTCCAGAACACCTTAGAGCTCTTGATCTGCGTGACTTAATTTAGTAGCTTAACTTTATTTGCCAGGGGATTGATAATACAATTCTGGAAAGCAAAGTGATTCAGTGAAGCCTGACCTCTCTTCTCTCTCCTCTGGTTAGGACAGAGTGCCTTGTTGGAGAACACAGTGTCTGCTCTGGCTTCAAAGTCAGTTCAGTTCCTGCCCTTTCCTTTACATTTAGCTTTTGGTGTATGTGAGTGACATCAGCAGGTTGCAGGCTTGCGAGGAATGAGGTCGTTTGTGATGTGGAGAGGCACAGGCTGTGGTAACAGGGGCAGAGTTCTGTCTCCCTTTCCTTCCAGCTGGAACTAGGGACTCCGCCCTCAGCTGTGGCCGCTACAACCCTCTGCTTTTCCTAAGTGGAGTATAAATGTTGGGAGAAGGAGTCTCAAAGTAGAGAGGAGAGGGAGGGGGTGGAAAATGCGACGGGACAGTGTTTTTCCCTGTTGTAAATTTTGTGCCTCTGGTTGCAGTATGGGTTTCTGTTTTGCAGGTGTTGCTTTGTGCTTCCAACCAAAACAGCAGCATCGTAGAGTGCTGGTCTCTGCGGAAAGAGGGCTTGCCAGTCAATAATATTTTTCAGCAAATCTCTCCTGTAGGTGAGTTTCTGCACCAGATACTCCTAAAAGTAGGAACATGGCCTAAGTGAAAACGCAAGACAGGTTCTCAAATCCATTCACATAGATGGGATTATCCAGAATCCCGTATTTATTTTTCAGGTGTTCAGTCACATGCTCTATTCTATCTGTTTGCCTCTTAGGCAACAAATTGCTTGTTTCCAGGAAGTGATTTGATTGTTACTTTCACTCAATAAAAGACGTTTTCTGTGTTATGCTGTGCAACCACTCCTCCTGCTAAGAACTGAGCAAGCCAACTTTCTAAAGGAAAAAGATCGTGCAGCAAAGCTGGTTTAATCGAACTATCCAGTCTGCATGTGTTTTCCACCTGCTTTCAGATATGACAAAGTCAAATGCAGTTTGTTCCAGTGAAGTATAAAGCATTATTGTACATAAGGATTTTTTTTTTAATCACCACCAGCAGATCCTTCCATCAAAAGAGATTTAGCAAAACAAGTTGTTGTTTGTACAATCCAGGAAAAAAAAAATGGCAATAGGAGGGAAATATATTGGTCTGGCAGAACAAACAGGTAGTCTGTAATGCCACTTAGTTGGGAGTGTGGGCAGGAGCTGGGGGGCTGTATTTTCTGATCTCTGTGGGGAGAGATGTCTCACTTATTTACTTACATTTCAAAGTTGGAGACAAGCAACCCATGATACTGAAGTGGCGGATTCTTTCTGCCACCAATGACCTGGATCGGGTTTCGG